CATTCGGGTGCAGATGTCCTTATCGTAGAATGTTTTGTGCTCTTTTGGGTAGATGCCTAATAGTGCTATTGCTGGATCGAATGGTATTTCTATTTTTAGCTCTCTGAGGTATCTCCAAATTCTTTTCCACAGAGGCTGCACTAACTTACAGTCCCACCAGCAGTGTAGAAGTGTTCCTGTCTCTCCACATCCTTGCCAACATTTGTTGTTTTGTGTTTTTTTGATAGAGGCCAATCTCACTGGGGTTAGGTGATACCTCATTGTGGTTTTGATTTGCATTTCTCTATGTTGTTTTTTTTTTTAACCCTAATGTAGAGCCTGAAGCCTGAAAGATTATAGATTCCAGCCTCCCAGAAAACCCCCTCTACTTGCAGGCAGGGTGAAGAGCAGGTGTCATTGGGTTGCGATCAATGTTATTGCACATATTGAAAGATAACAACATATATATTTTTAATAGCTTCCAAGACTGTGGTTCTGCATAGGGCAAAAATCATCTGCAGTGTTTTGATTCTCGAGCCCTGTCTAAAGGCAACCACCTGCTGAATGAGGCTCTTAGTGGTTAATGAGAGGCCCAGCGTAGGAGGGAAGTGAAATCTAAGTCCCAATAGTGGCTGGCAGGGCTACCCACCCTCGACCCCAGCCCACTGGCTTCTTCACCCTTCCTTGCCCATGCGAGGCCCCTCATGCCTTAGAAGCTTTGCATGGGCTGTTCCCTCTGCCTGGAAACTTCTGCACAGCTCCCTTCCTCCCTTCCTTAAAGGCTCGGTTCACCTGTGGCTGCAGTAAGGCCTATGTACACTGCCTATCCTATGTAAGACTGCAACCAACTGCCCTCGCCATCCCCAGCACTCCTGGCCCCCTTGCCCTACCCTTGGTCTTTTCTCCATGGTACTAACCACCTTCTAACATACTATGTAATTAATGTAGCAATTGTGCTTAATATTTATTGTCTGTCTCCTATAACCAGGATGTAAGCTCTATGATGGTAAGATTATCTGGGTTTTTTTTTCCACTGACATATCCCAAATACTTAACAATAGTGCCTGGCATGTTAAAGGCATTCAATAGATATTTGTTGAATGAATGAGTGAATGAATGAGAAGAACCTGTTGTTTTATATCCACAATAAATCACAAGTAACTAACTTGTAGGTAGGGACTATGTTTTCTGCCCCTTCGCATCTAACAGAGTTGAACAAGAGTGCAGAGAAGATGCTCAAATTTTCTGATAACGATACTATACTATCATTTCGATCTTACACCTTCACTTCTTCTCGGGCACTCCTGGAGTTTTGTGTAAGTCATGTCATTGTTTTCAGGGCAGTTCATTAAAGGCTTTCCTTTCTACTTAGAGATGAAACTAGAGCTAGAGGGATGGTCATAAGCAAACCATGAACAGAATTCCAGTTTCTCACGTGCTGTTAATGAGACTGTGCCCACATAAAGAAGGGACGTCTGCTGGTGTGGAACCGTACCAGTTGTCAGCGTGGATCCCTTTCTCTCCTCCCTTCCTCCTTGTCTTGGTCTGGGCCTTACACCGTCAGCTTGATTTAACGCCCGTGGGCGGCCTTTGAAGCAGCGGTCAGAGGAAGCCGTTTCACACGCAGGGGCGCCGCGCTTACCTGCACATTCCTGTTCAGGCTGACTGCAGGGAAGAACATGCCCTCCACGTTCTCAAACGCTATGGGGCCTTGCTGTTCATCGTTGATAAAAAATGTCAAGGTTTTCCTATTTAAGTCAAGGAGGACCCCAACGGTGGCCCCTTTTGTGATCCCTCCCTCAGTTCTGTGGGAAAAGAAAAAAATTGGGTTTCACTTGTTTGTTGTCATTCTAGAAGCTCCTTTTTCTGTATGGTTAAACCAGCGTTTTGCAAACCTGTTCAAAATTATTGCCCCCCTCCAACATTTTTAAACATTTTTTCCTTTTCCACCCCTTTCAGATAAAATTGTAATGCCACAGATACACTGTATACCTGGTTATGTACTGTTTGTGTATCTGTGCTTTATGTATATATAAAGAGTAAGATTTTTTGCTCCCCCGCTCCCAATTTTCACTCCTTTGGGGGAGATATTGGCCCCTGTTGAGCACGGGTTGCTCTGCTGTTGCTGAGAGTGAACTCATTCGTACAGGATCTCTGCCACTGAGCCGCAGTGGGAAACAAAACACTAAAGACTAAAGACTACGAAAAAAATAGCCTTTGGGCTATCAGAGTTCTGACTGTAGGAATGTCGCACACTTTGCACAAATGGTGTGAATTAAACATCATTAAATACAAAATGACTTAATTTGAAAGTCAAAATAAAGAAGCACTTAGGTTGAATCTAAAACATATGCATGAGAAATTAGAGTTTGGGCCTTATGTTACCCATTAAATAGAAAAACTCATTCCAGAAAGAAGGTTATTTTTTGGCATGCTGCATTGGAATTAAGAAGTTAGAGTCTCTCTTTAAAATGACATCAAAGAAGAGGGTTCTTCCCTGCAAAGTGAAATAATTATACTATAGGAAATGAAGTGATTTTAAGGATATTGCATGCAAATGTCATTTTACAAAGAACTGTATCTTATGCTTCAATTGATGATTTTGCAAAATGCCATTAAAACATGGATAGTCAGATTTGTCTTTTCTCCCTTTTTGAGATCTAGCAATATTGAACTTCATCCTCATCTCAGCAGAGCACAGAAAGTGTCATTCGTTTCCTCTTGCGTGCAGGATACAGATTGTACACAGTCATTAAAAGACAGGTTTACAAATTCCACCTTGTTAATTCACAGCTTTAACAATGAAAGCACAAGTGACATGCAGCTGGCATGCAAGCAGATGTGTTCAGCTTTAAAAATGTGTCTCACTGCACAGCGTGATGGTCGTGTTACTATTCACTCCTTCACTCCAAAATAAAGACGCTAAAAGGGAAAAGGTAAGTGTGGTATGTGGGTGATGGCGTCAGGAATCTAGTGACAGAGAGTTCCCCAAGATGTCAATCACTGAAGGTAAGTACTTATCTACATCCCGTAGGATTTGATATCAAGTTGAAATGGTGTGTGTGTTCACTTAAAGTGACAGCGAAAAATACACACCTGAATGGAGAATGTACAGAAAATATCGAAGAGAACAGGAGGCCCTCGGAGTCTAGAGAGGGTCGGTGATGAGCATACGGAAACAGCTGAAATGGTGGAGTCCTGGCTTGCTTTCCCTTTCAGCTGATTAAGCACAACTGCATTTCTTTTTTATAGATACCCATGAAAGTGTATTTGGGGGAAATTTGAGAATAAGGTGGACCAGGATCCATGATAAGACACTTCTCTGCCTAGGAAATTTGTGCAAAATATACCTGAAGATGAGAACACAACCAAATGAAGAGGGAAATCCAGGGAAAAAATTACAGTCTGTGTTAAATTCTAATTGTCTATATTTTGGTGGTAGAGGAAAACCTTAAGGAGATTACTATATTCTCTTTCCTCGGCAAATGGGGTGCTCTCAATTCATACGACAATAAGAGGGTCCTTTAAGTGTGAAGCTATCCAAGTTGGCATCCATAAGATTTAATGAATCACACTGAATCTCTATTTTCAGGTGCCTTCAATGTAAGGCATTTTCATATATGTCATTTAATCTTCACAACACGCTTGCATGGAAAAATATCACTATACAAATTTGGAAAGATTTGGAAACTCAGGTTCAGAAAAATGAAGTAATATGGCCAAAGGCACTTTTCTGGAAAGTTGTAGATTTGGGTTTTAGAACCCTGGATTGCTTTCCTATAATGGATATACATGAGGACTCTCAGTTTCCAGCCATGGGCAGAATACAGCAAGGAAGGGCCTAGGAAAGTGCTCACATCTCTATCTTTATGCAAAAAATAAACCACCAGGATGGACTCACCTACGAGTAATAGAGCACCTGTGCATTTGCTCAAGACCCCTGCTTGACTTCCTTAATGTCGTCTACGTATTAATAATGGGTCTCTGAACTGGGCTGTCACTCCTGACCAGAAGCCAACGTGAAGAAGGCTTGGTTCGGGGGCTGCAGGGTACCTGTTGGTGTGCGAGTTGTTGTGCATGAACCAGCTCCGGTTATTGTCCACATACATTGCCCAAGCTTTGTCGTCCTTTCCTAACATCACATCCTTCATCACGTCGATGCGAGCCACGCCAAAGGCAGGATCGGGGTGGTTGTCATAGCGGTCTACCGTTAACTCCCAGTAGTGGACGCCCTTGGAGAAGCCCGTCTTCCCCAGCACCACCCGGTCATCATAGCTACTGCAGGTCACTGTCAGGTTGTCATTGGAGAAGATGATGTCTGAGTGCGCTGAGCCAGGGTCGAAAGCAAACCAGGCCACTGGGAACAACAGAAGGGAATCGGGTTATTAAGACAGACTCCAGACGCTCAGCATCGTAACACACTCCTGGGCGGGTAAGGAGCGTTGTGTAGCGTTTTCATGCTGCCATGCAGGAAGGAGGCGTCCAGGGCCACAGCAGACAAGGGCACGTCCTGGGAGTTGGTACTCTCTGCACCGGAAGCAGACGGAGGACACACGACCGATTCAGCAGGGGTTACCTGGCTCAGACTGCACTCCCAACCAGGTGATCCGGGAGTGAAGTGGCATCGGTTTTGGAAGGTGCAAGTCCCTTCACCTGGTGACTGGCAGAACAGTGCACCAGAGACATAAAGGGAGAGGGGATGCGCTAAGATGCCTGTGTAACCCCTGAGGCGGGGAGGCTAGGAGCTAGAGTCCTAGATGGAGGAGGGATAAAACACACGGCGTGAAATCAGGAAATACCCCTTCGGCAGAAGTGCTAAAATCTAGTCGCTTTGAAAATTCCCTCAGCTCTAGTGAAAGCTCACAAGCTGCGAAGCTTAAGCAACATAAACTAATTTTTATGAGTGTGACTTGGACGTAGGGCAGGTTGCTTCCTCATAACTTAAAAACACAGTCTGCGTGTTACTCCTAAAACTAACATGTAAGCTATTTTGCTGAAGCAGTAGGTATTCTGGACGTTAGGTTCTAAATGCCACCTGCAAATAATACACTTGAGTGATGTAACTGCTGATTTATTGAACCTGTGAGCCGCCTCACATGCACTGTGGTCTTTGCTATTTGTAACAAAATAAGGTTATTCCATACCTGCCAACAGCTTTTTAATGTCAACTGTTGTCATTCCAAGTGAAAGGCATGGGGGAGAGAGACAGGAAGCAGAATTGACGTGGATAAGAAAACATGTCTTTTGTGATAGACTAGTACTCAAAGGGCTTAATTTAAAATGCCACATATACCACAACAGTTGCTCTGACTTCTACCTTTACCCACATTTAGCGCTTATAAAGAGTACTTTGCATTGGCATATAGGAAAACTGGGGGAAAAGTAAGCTTTGAGGTATAACATTAAAAAATACAGATATTTCTATTTTTCTAAGAACTTGAGAAAGTGTTATGATGGGGTTAGAATGACAATTAGACAATGTTATTGACAGAAAATAAGCTGCTGCCATTTATTTTGTGAAGGAAATTGAGCATACCAATCACACAAAAGGTAATAATTACAACAGGTATACTTGCCTAATTGAGAGTAAGATGCAGATTGTGTCTCAAAATTGCATCCTATAAAGAGATACTACACATCAAAGCTATGAAACAACAACCACGTTGATAAAAATTATTTGTATACACTTAAAAAGCACCAGCTGAATACAGTCACCAGAGGCCTGATTCATGAAAAAACGGAGCCCTTTTGATTGTTAGTTTACTTTGCTGGGTAAAAATTGCTTCTCTGCTTTTTCAAAATGAAAAGCGCATCTTTTTACCATTTCATAAATCCTCCAACAGATTCTAAAATCTGCAGCTTAAGTTTTCATCATCTTCCCGGTTCAATGTTTTCTTCTAAAGTTTCCATATTAAGAAAGCTGATTCTTAAAAATGAGAAAAATTTACCCAATTGAAATGGAGAAATCATTGGATTGTGATAAAACTCTGTGTGGCTGTTGTATGCACTTCTAACTCTGTTTATGCCGAAAGGTCTTTGCTGTGATTTGAGCTCAACATAAATAATACCTATGTGACAAAATGTGTAATGTAATCATATCTTAATAAATACAACTGATAGTTATTAAGAACGACAATTTGAATGTAGTAAAATTACCCCCTCTCTGTCTTAGATTGTTTTACTACCTCAGTCCTTCTCACCTGAGGGAAAGGGCGTGGGCTCAGAGATAACTGCAATCACCTGTGGAACTTTTCCAACCGCCTCCCTTCCCTAAGGTCTGTGTCCCCCAACCCAGGAGAAGCCACCCGGGGTGCAGGAAGGAAGGCTGTCTAGTCTTAAAATGTCCAAAGCTGTGTGATCCACAATTTCCAGTGGCGGTGGGGACTGATCTAGAAAATGTGGTTTTGACAAGCATTAAGGGATAAAGAAAAAAATCATTTAATTTTTTTTCAGCTTAATAAGGCCCTTATATGCTAATTTCTAAAACAAATGAAGGATAATGCACTGACTCAAAAGAATTTTACGAAAATTAAAAAAAGCAACTTACTATATAAAAAGGGACTAATGACTGAGTCAAAATGTAAAGATTATTACCTTACTTTTGGTTAGTTTATTTACTAGTTTGCTTTGAATTCACACGCAAAAGAAGCATTTTTCTCCCAACTCGTGGCTGATTTTTATGTTAAATTTCTATCGATTGTCACTTCAATTTCTAACCATGGGTTAAAGCACAGTGAATATGGAACACCCAGAGTTTTAAAACTGACTCTCACATCCGGCTTTAGAAATAAATTTGTAGAATCCGAATAGGGCTTTTAAAATTTTTAAATGAATCATTCCTCTTGCAAATTCATTTTCAAAACAAATATTCTGAAATATTTTTACACTACTTTAAACACACTGTCATATATTTAAGATTCAACGATAACTACAACAATGCTGTTAAATACACCCATCAAATATTCCAAAACCCACATTTCATTTTATTCTTGAGACAATATACATTACAAAGACTATAACAGTATTTCAGTACGTTAGACACAAGTGAAAAGAGTTTCATAACAAAGCATGTTGGAAAGCTAGTGCACAGAAAAACAATAAGAAACATAAAAGCACAAAGAAAAATGTCATTTTAAAGAGAGCTTGAAGTCCCTGCATCCTTTTTGCACTGTCATGCGGTGGCCTTCTTCATTCCACGATATGGGATGAGCAAAAAGAATAAAATAAAAAGCAAAAGAAACCTTTGGAAATGTGAAATGCGCATCATGTGTATCCATGATTACAATATAGTCCTGAAGAGATCAAATAGGTCTGCATCTTAGATATTTTAGGATTTTAATTTTCTAGTCAGGGTTCACTGCAAAGTTAGCACAAGTTTAGCTTCCTTGAAGTCAGCTGTAAGCCCTGTCACAACAGGCTTGGCTTGGAAAACTTCCAGGAGGCCAGACTTTCTGATTACTTGGATCTTCGGGCATTAGGAGTTAAGGTTTCTAATTCAGCTAGCAGTGGTCCCTCCCCTTCGCTAGAAAAACACTCAGCCATGAGCTGGACTGTCCTACTAGTGAGCACAGGCTCTTGCAGAAAATGCTTTTACTTTCTGCTCTCTGGTTTGCCTGTTTTGTAGAATAGGACACGTTCTGCTGTTGGTATGTTTTTACTTTTATTTTGTCAATAAAGATCTCTTGAGTCTATGTTTAATCAGAGCACTCCAGGCTGGATGCACTGATCCAGTCTCCCAGACACAGCTGGTTTCCTGGATACAGAAGGGTTGCAAACCTCCAAATTACTGCCATGGCCGCCACTCAGCCAGCGCCTGTGCCGTGCTGTGCCACTGCATGTGATGACAGAGCGAATTATCCACAGTGGTACCAGCTTGTGCAAAAAGAACAACTTCACTCATCACTTTCCAGTGCCATTATACATAGACCACAGCTCCATGGTTGCTCCTTACACCACACAAACAGGAATGCCACAGAGCTCCGTCATCCAAATGCTCCTCATACTCGAAGCAGGCCACAGACACAGAGACCAGCTCATCCCCGGTACCACGCACATGAATGGCAAGAACAAAACACGCATTTCAAAGCTGCCTTCAAGGCACAGAGATCAAGAAGAAAGGTCTGAGGAGCTCAGCTCACCCGGTGCATTGAGAGACTGCAAAGAGGAATGCAAGCTCAGCTGGTGGGGTGAGGATCGGAAATCAAAGTAGGATCTCCCCGGGAAGCTGGGTTGTAGATTAAGGGTGGAGGAGAAAGGACTCATTCTACGAAGCGGCAATCTTTCCGAAGGCACTGGAAAAGGGAGGGTCTGTTCTTCTGAATCTGTGTCTAAATGTAAGATCAATGCAAACTAGAGATCAGAAATCTGCTACCTGCTGGTGCACGGTTCCCCAAGACCTGCCTTAACAATGCATTTATACAAAGCCTCATCTTTCCACAGGGTGCCACATACAGGCATCTACAACACCAATGTGCTTGGTGGCTGGGAGGGAATTCTCGGCAGCTCAGGACCCAAGACCAGAGGATACTGCAAACATCACAGGCAATTGTTTTCATTTCCCCCCAATTTTTAGTGGTAGGAAAATTATTTTGAAAGGTTTCCTTTTAATTAAATATTTTTAGAGTTGAATTTAGTAACTTTAGAGGTCAGTTTTACCCATGATGGCCAAGAGGAAATTAATATTTTACTGGTTTCAGCTATCCTGGATGTTACTACCTATTCAACAATGGCCTCTTAACAGGGTTTCTATGTAGGAGATGATGATTTTTACAAACTGTTTCCTGATCCGTTTCTAGGTGTATGATACGATTTTTTCTACTGGAACATTCAAGGCTTGATCTTTGAATAGGAGAGGAAGCATGTGGCCCAAGGGAGAAAGGGCTGGACAGATCCTCAGGGAGGGAGCCTTACCTTTGTTTCTGAATTATGGTTAGGCTCTAGGGACATCATTTGGCCATCTTTGGTTCTCTAATAATCGGACAGTGGGCAGTGGTGAGGTGCATTGGTAACAAAGTGTCTTTGTTTCTTTTCAGATAGGCCTGCTATGAAGACCATTATTATATCAGAGTAAGGAATTATCAATTACTTAATCTGGTTTTTAAAAAGGGCTTGTGAATGAGTTTCTCTAAATTATTGAAATCACTCCTTTCTCTTTTGTCAAACAATAGTTGGTTCTATGCAGTGGTGTAGTCTGGTTGGAGATGGATCTTTCACCCATTGAAGCCTTTTAAAAACTCAGTCTAATAGTAATAATTTAGGAAATACAGATGCCAGGAAGGTAATATTCCAAGTCCAAAACCACGAAGGAAATTTCTTCTTGTTGAAAAAATACTTTTGGTGGCCTGAGGTGTGCCTGTGAATATATTTCTGGTTTAAATCTGTTAGCAGCTCTTCTTTGTTGAACACACCCTTCTGCTATCAAAATGCCACTCTGTGCACATTCAAGCAAAAATAACTGGAGTGCGTGTGTGCAGAACAGGATCCTATTTGAAGAGCTCAGAACAGGGGCAGTGGCAAGTTTTAATTTAATACTGCCAAGACTCAGCCTCATTTTCATTTCTGAACTTACAATATTGAAGTTAGCTTTTCAGCCTTTAGATTTTGTCTGTGGGGGAAGATTTTTTTTTTTTAAAGAAAAGTACAAACCCTATCTCAGAGAAAAGGAATTGCTATTCATGGAGTTAAGACTTTGTGCTCCCACGAATAATACATTCAAATTTTCTTTCTTTCATTTTATTCATTTATTTATTTTGAGAGAGGATCTTGCTCTATTGCCAGGGCTAGAGTGCAGTGGCATCATCATAGCTCACTGTAACCTCAAACTCCTGGGCTAGATGGATCCTCCTTGCCTCAGCCTCCTGAGTAGCTGGAACTATAGGCATTAGCCACCATGCCTGGTGGCTATTTGTTCAGAAATGATAAACCAAAAATCATGTTATCATTTTAAGGGGAAATTAGCCCTTTAGTGTAATGAAAGATTTGAAATACAATAACACAGTGCCCCCACAAACTGACATGGCTTATCATAGGGAGAGAAGGCATTTACAATTATATTTATGTCAGTATAAGAATTTTTATTAATAAGAATTTGCCTGGAAATGCATTTTTCACCAAGTGTGACAATTCATCATATTGAAAATACTTGTTGCTTTAAAAGTTAAGGGGAAGGACACATATGTTAAGATGAATTTCAGAGTATTGAACCCCCAGGCAGTGATCTGAAAACCAGGGAAGAACGTGTACTGGGTACAGACCTTGCGGAGTGTATCCAGTCCCACCATGAGTCGTACTCACCTCTTCTATTCTCAGCACCGAGAAGAACTTAGAGTTGGTGATGGCACCCCTTGGTGGGGTGGGGGTTGAGGGTAGCTATGGCTATTCATGGGATTAAGAACTTGACCCTAAAGTGGTTGCTGTTTTTCCTGTCTTTTCATGTGGATCCATGGTTTATTGATGACCCAATCTCCCTTGACTCCTCTCTCTCTTGGACTACACTCTTTCCTCAGGCAAGCTCATCTCATATACATGTTATGGAACCATTCCATTTTTGGTTTTGAGGTTTTTTTTTTCCCCACCTACATCCTCCCATCCCTACCAGCTGGGCTCTTACCGCATTTTCTCTAGGCAGCTCCTAAAAAGAAAAAAAAAACCAAAACCAAAAAAAACATTCCTACCTTGCCATGAGAACTTTCCAAGTGAATTACGAGAGAGACAGAGAACACTTTCCACCTGATCCCAGCCCAAATAAACAAGCAATTCTCCCTTTATTCCCTTCCCCATGTACACATAGTGGTCAGTTGCCTGTAAGTCATCTATGCCACTTCATATTATTTTAGATTTCAGGAGTCTTAAAGGGAAGACACTTATCTGAATAACATCAGAGAAGCAATCATCAAGCTTCCCCTTGAAGTCCCCTGGGGACTTCCAGGCAGCTCCCTCTAGTTTGTAGTTATTGCTTATATTGGTCTGGACATACCTCGTTGGGAACTCTTCTCATCAACTGTAGCATTACTTTCTGGGGCCACAGGGAACAGATCACTAGTTCTTCAAGTATTTGAGTCCAGTCACCAATCCATTTTAAATCTTCCCTTTTCTGACCTAAACAGAGTCTATTTCAAACCGTTTCTTTATGTATGGATTTCAAATCCTTCACTATCCTGGTCATGCCCCTCTGCACATGTCCAAAGGCATGAGTCAAAAACAATATGACAATATTGACAACAGTATTCCCAGTTCCTGGTTTAGCCAAATCATGCTTAACTCACATGGAACGTACACAAAACTAACCAAGTGTGTATTCTGTGTTATACTCATGGGATGCAGGAAGGACGTACATACCATTTCCTCATCTCCCCTTCGAAATACAACTATTGGGATACGGAGAAGGCTTCTCAGCCATTAATATTCTATTAGTCAAGACAAAGAGGAATGAGGTTATCATTATTTTTTTTTTTGAGACAGAGTCTCACTCTGTTGCCCTGGCTCGAGTGAGTGCCCTGGCGTCAGCCTAGCTCACAGCAACCTCACACTCCTGGGCTCAAGCAATCCTACTGCCTCAGCCTCCCGAGTAGCTGGGACTACAGACATGCACCACCATGCCTGGCTAATTTTTTCTATATAGATTTTTAGTTGTCCAAATAATTTCTTTCTATTTTTAGTAGAGACGGGATCTCGCTCTTGCTCAGGCTGGTCTTGAACTCCAGACCTTGAGCGATCCACCCGCCTCGGCCTCCCAGAGTGCTAGGATTACAGGCGTGAGCCACCGCGCCCGGCCGAGGTTATCATTTTTTTCTATCGAATACGTGATACAAAGCTATTGTTTAGGTCACAGCTAATACTCAGGGTGATGATTATTATCAATTTTTAACTTATAGATCACTAAGAAAGACAAGTAGCCCCTTAAGAGATTTTTAATATCTCATCATGTTTCATCATATGCACTGGGCTGTCTGGTTGAAGAGCTTTGCTGAGTGAAAGCAGCTTAGCAGGAAAGAGCAATGGAAAATAGTATGTCAGTGGCTGAAGGTGCTAATTCCAGGCATAACTATGACTCTGGGACAGGACTGTGTTCATAACGGAAATGTGTCAAGACATGTTTTCCATCAACTCTGTCAATGACCCTTATTTTCCTCTTGCTCTTTCCTGGACTTCTTTCCCTTCCCACTTGGGATTGGATGGATTCTGGCGTCAGGGTTTAGATAGTGGCAGAGGCCTCTGCTTGAGAAAAGCAATCAAGAATTACCAAAGTAAAGATGGGCTGGGGACTACTTGTATTATTGACTGGCTTTGGGTTCAAGGAGGAGATAAGAAAATTTAGGTGGTGTACTCCTATTGGGCCACCATATATTTCTTTAAATTGTTCATTACTAACAATAATTGAACACCTATTGTGTGCCAGACATTGCATTAGAATTGAGCAGTTGGGAAACACAAAGTTGGCAGGAGGGCAAACCGTTAAGAGAAATACTAATTTAGAGAAAATCTGTGTCATACATTATTGATAGGTTTTTATATTTCTAGAGGTAGAATTTCTTGATTGATTCCATATACAGAGTACTAAAGATTTCTGTGGATGTTGCATAATATTTTGAAAATGTAAAGTATAGTCTTTGAGGTGTTATTTTTGGAATTCAAGAAGGAAAAGTAAACTTATAGTGGTTCCTTATGACAGTGTATACTAATCCAGCTTCCTTTGTGTCATGCTAGAAATTCTCGTTGTCCTCCTGTCTGGTTGTGAACAAATTCCTAACTTAAGCAGCCCTAGTACCTGGTCCAACAAGATGGGTGTATTTTAGAGTACAGGAAAGCCAGCTATGTCACTAAGAATTGCACGAGGAGTGTTAAAGATGAGTTTCACTTCAACTAGAAATCAGCTGTAAAATTATCTGCTTTTTTGGGGAAGATTTGAAAAGAGACAAAGAAATGAATGAGGAAGGAGGCTGAGTTTTCTTAAATGATCTAATAAGCAGCCAAAGTCACAATTAAGCTCGACTGGTACATAATTTATAACAAAAGGTGGTATTTTAAGCTTTCTTAAGTGTGGCATTAATTGCAGTTGAGAAATGAGAAACAAATGTTTTGAAAACCTTCTTTTAAAAGAATGAAACAGCCCTTGCCACCCTAGGATGGCTTCATACTTCACGACCAAGCCCTCCACTCCAATTTAGATTACCATGGCATTATTTGTAAGATCAGGAAAACTGAAAATTCCTACATTTCAAATGGATACACTAAGATTCTAAAGGAGTAACCCATTCCCCGGAGTGTCAACTGCAGAACACACTCCCCAGAACCAAAAATAGGGCTCTGGATCCAATTCGGTCCTATAGAAAAATTCCAGAAATTCCCTGGGATATCATGCATAGTGTCAAAATTAAAAGGAACAGAGAATCTCTCTTTCCTGGGTGCTGAAACCTATCATTATGCCTCTCACCTTGGATTTTGTAAAATCTACCCAAATTTGGTCAGGTATGATTTGCCTACCTTGAGGATTTCATCCTGGAAATGTATGTTCTTCTAACAATTTTGGAGAGGCCCAGATATTCTGGGTCGGGAAAAGCAAAGTAGAGGCATGGCAAAAACACCTGCAGTGGATCATATACTTTTACTTATAGGATCCTTTATCGACTATTTCTATTAGTGTCGAATTTTCAGTATCATAGGCAGAAGGTTAAGACCCATTAAGACCCTTAGGGGAGGCAGGGGA